CTTCCATCAATTCTTCTATTGTTGCGTGTGTATTCTTTGCCGCGGTAAACTTTTTACCGAGCCATTGCCTAGCAACAACACATTTAAGAATTACGCCGTTCAGATGGACTCAGGTGCCATGATATACTTGTACATACCAAGTTTCATATAGATAGGTTCAGGCATTCAGAAGTTGATGGGTGTTTGGGGGGATACACGGAACCACAGACACCATGGTGATCCCACAAGCCTAATTTTATATTTTAAATACAAGGAAAGTAGGCTGAAAATTGTATAATAACATGCTTATAAAGATAAACGTTCAGGTGACCTACTAATTAAACATTTAAATCATTAGTCATATTATTTACCTTTAATATATTATGGCATTATAATTGATATATATATACTGAATATGTCGGTGACGATGGTTGTGCTCAGTCTCTTCCTATGCTATTGACTTTATCCTTATGTGTACAAATTAAAACCAGCGGATACACAGAACTAAATATCACGGTTTACAGAATTGGGTACAAAAGGAAAATCGAATGAGGAAAGAGCAGATGCGGGCTAGGGATCGCTGTACAGAATTTCGGAGAATGTGACGAGCGTTCTGATGGTGTATGACACTCAGAGTTACTGAGTTTTGGACCTTGTCCATCGTCCAATATTCTAGAAACCAGAAAGCGCAGTGTTTCGGAAACTGGATTTCTTTCCGTCCTAGCTCTTTCTAAGGGAACCAAAAGTATAGGTGTGTCCTCCCCTTAGGACGGAAACAGACCCAGTTTCCGAAACTTTGTGTTTCCTAGTTTCTAGAATACCGGACGATGGACAAAGCCAAAATCTCCAGTAATTCTGAGTATAAATATTATGGTGTCCTCGTCTAGCTACACTGGCTGTGGATTTTCGGGGGTTTCCTTCGTCCTTCCAGATAAATGCCCTGATAATGCCTCAGTTCCCTCCACGTTCCCTCCAATTCATTTTGTAATTGTTTCTCTTTTCACTCGACGCCAAAACGTCCGAGATACTGACGGTTTCGTTAAATAAGCGACGCCTAAAATGAAGAGCTTAGGCCGAACATCTAACCAAATTCGAAAGAGATATTATCCACTTTGTTTTGACACGATTAACACTCTTCATGCTTTATTTTTATCACGAATGTGGGTTTCATTGTATTAGATCACGTACTGACCAATGGTTTTCATTCGACATATATTAAAGAAAAGTTTGTATGTAGTGGATGAGTACTTCAGATATGTTTGAAGTCTATGATGCAGTTGGGAAGAGAGTGTTTTGCGAGAATTTAATTTAGAATACCCAAGATACTCGGGATATGCATGAGATATCTGTTGGAGTCTGTACGGGTAAATGTTTAGGCCTACATATCATCACTCCACTTCACATTGGGCTAAAATAAGAACACGTTTTATCTTCATTGTTTCTATTTTCCCAAATTGATAGTATGTATCAAAATTTTATGATCGTGGGGAAAAAAATTGACCTTGAGGTTTTTACACGTTTTCACGTGTTCAGCTCACCTCAATACGAAAAAGTACTCTATGGAATACTGTCTGTCTGTCTCTCTGTCTCTATGTATATCCATGTGTATGTGCGTCTCGCTGGCGCCTCAACATTTGGACGAATATTATTAATATTCGGAATTTAAGAGTTTATACGTCATAAGTCGGTTCCCCGTGAATGTGAACGTTTAAGCTCTAAAAATAAAGGTCCTTTTGATGGGTCACAGAAACAAAATTGCTCTGACGATTTTGATTAAATTCCAGAAACTTAAGGAGATCATGCCCCTAAATAAACTGCATGCCTGATATCCTCGAAAAGAAACGGTAGGCTCTGTATACGAGAAAGTATGCCCTATATCCTTGCCTTGATATTTGGCTTTGCTGCAGAATATGCCGTCAAATGCGAATCAGAAACTGCTGAATGCAATCTTCGACGCATATGTCAATTACTCGTTAATTTATTGCGGGTAAATATACATGCCAAAAAGAATAAAGCTTAAATTATCTTTCAGGGGCAGCAAAGAAATTGAATATAAATATAAATCTGGGCAAAAGTAAGTACGTAATTATGGAAAAGTCTCCGGGAACATTAATAATAAATAAGGAATAAGTTTGTGTTGACATCAAGTTATTACGAATTCTGTAAATACTTTATATTACACAGATCGGTAACTATTGTGGCATCGTCTATATGTAAAAGCACTGAATGATAAAATACGTAAGTAATAAATAACTTTTTTATTTATGTGATATGGGTTTGAGAAGTGGACTCTTACGTTCAGAGGAAAGGGTGAATTACATCTGTTAGGAAGCACAGAGTTTAGATAAATATTCAGACCTAGGAAGGACAAGGAGAATATGTGGACCGAAGAGGGATGAAGTGACAGGAGGTTAGAGAAAACTGCATAAAGAGGAGCTTCATAACTTGTACTCTTCTCCAAGTATAATTAGAACGATCAAGTCAAGGTGGATGAGATGGGTAGGCATGAAGCACGAATGGGGGAGAAGAGGAATGCATATATAATATTGGTGGGTAAGACACCAGGAAAGAGACAACTAGGAAGACCAAGACGTAGGTTGGTGAACAATATTAAAATGCATCTTATGGAGATAAGATGGGATGGCATGGATTGGATTGATCTGGCTCAGGATAGGGACAAGTGGAGGGCTCTTGTGAACACGGTAATGAACATTCGGGTTCACTACATTAACTTGTAGACAGGAAGAATCCACGATTACCTTACCTAGGATAAAAGGTTGTCAGGCCGAGAATCGAATTGAATACCTTTCAAACACAAACTATAGCTTTACCACTGCAACACTTTGCACGGTTTCTATGAGGGATGCCTGAGAAAATCCGTGTATTTGCTCTAAAGTGTTTTGACCCTTACTTCGCAAGCTGAGTTAGCAGACAAGCAGGACATAGAGTATCTACTTCTGATTTTTTTTTGTGTTCTTGAATGTTTAGCAGGAGCAAACATTCTTTTAGTTTGAAGTAAAATATTAGCTTTTCAGGAAAGATAATTTCCGAAGAATGTGTTTTAAGGCTTTAATATAACTTTCGATATAAAATTCCACGCAACTCTCCCTAGAAGATAGAAGAGGACTACAGCCAAACTGATTAAAGAAATCTCTAGAAGACGTTTATGTAAAAATAGTAAGAAAATTACATCCATGTTAAATGGAACATTCTGCATAATTCTGTTGCCTTCTTGACAGGGTCATTTATGGAAGAAGTGACACGGGAAGGGATATTTTTTTTCAACGATTTGCTCATAGAAGAAACATTGTGTTGTGTAAGTGTCATGGTACCAAGTCTATGTAAAGAAAATCAGTTCCTGCTAAATTATTTTATGAATTACTTCAGAACATGAAATCGGATACACACCATTGCAGTGGGGTATGATTTATGCGTCATTAAAACATTTATAGGCGTCAGCGTCATTGCCGGACGTTCCGACGCGTCAACAAACGTGAAGGCGTGGAGATTGTTGGCAGCCATTGCGCTGCTTCTGGCTGACTACTGCTGTGGTGGAAAACAGGGGTTATCTGATGTTTACGTGCGTCTTTACAGTACCCTGCTGACTTTGAATTGTAGGGAGATAACTTTAATGTAACGTGTGACTTAATTACACACATTTAGTATTTGTATTAGTAATATAGTAGTAATCATATTTAATCACAGAATACTCGTAAGTCGCCTAAAACGGAAAACTTCTTATTTGTATTCGAGAGTTGCCAGGTTCGAACCCTGATTGTACTGAATAGTATACTCGTATTTGACGAGTTTCTCCGTCCCTCCAGGACATCGAAAGCTATCATGCTCTCGAACCCGACAAATAACAGCTGCGTCCGACACAGTGCAGTTATATATTCTATAATTATTTCGTATTTAAATTTGTAAACTGTAATGTTACGGGGAGTTGAAGTGTACGGTGTAGATAACGAGTGAATTTCGAATTTTTTATGTCTAAAATGTTAAGTTGGCCTTTCATCGAAGTTTTAATTGGAATATTTTCTTTTCCAGTCACGTATATAAAGACTTAAGATTATACACCCAAATTATAATGTAACTGTTGCTTTCCATGTGCATGAAGCTTTGAAGATAGCTCAGGCCGTTAATCGTCTGCCTTTTGTTCCATAGATATCTGTTCCGAATTTCGGCCGCTCACTGACTACACTGATTAAATTTTTCTCGGTTTTCCTCGGCCCTTCCAAGCGAGTGGAGGGACAGCACGAGTTTAAAATGGCGTCTTCCTTCCACATCCGCTCTAGCTCACCATCCGCCCATTCGACTATATACAGCTTGAACTACTAGAAGCGTCATTAAATAAACCATAAATAAATAAATAAACAAATAAACATCTGGTAGAAACTTGGCCTGTCATCCCTAAAAGGAAAAATACAGGTGTTTCGGTGTATGAGAAGGAATTACTGAAAAGATTATTTGGTTCTAAGTAAGTGGAAAATGGAGAAAGTGGCATACTAGAAACTTCGACAAAAACTATTGTAGTGACAAAATCAAATTTGATGCGGTGGGCAGCGAATATAATATGCATAAGACTGAGAAATGTATACAAAATATTGGCCGAAAAACATAAAAGACAAGAAACAATTTGGGTGATCTAGGCATGATAGAAAAACAACATTAAAACAAATCTTAAAGGAAACAGATTATAAGAGTACACTGGATTAAGGTGGCTCAACATAGAGTCTAGTGATGGGTTCCTTTGAAAGTGGCAACAGATCTTCGGGTCCCATGGTAATTCTTTGTCAGCTGAACAGAGATCAGCTTCTCATGTGGGCATATGTTCCAAGGAATTATTTGATGAACACGTATTTTCCATAAAATGCGTGTAGTTCCTTGTCCAACTGAGGAACTACTAACTTTCTAATAAGGACTCTGAACCATGAAATTATTTATTCTGCTAGTTAGAGAGTTGACCGTAATGTGAAGAAGTGGAGTTGTCAGGTGGGTGCGACCGGTTGTGAAGCACGTACCTCTCTGCTCGTACTCCACCACTGTGTTGTAGCGGCGGTGTGTGATGAGGAATGCTCTGGGCATGATGCACGGAGCCCGCTGGACCACCTTCCACTCCTCCCGGCGCGCACACGACTGAATCGCCGTCTCGAGGCTAGACGCGTGCCACAGAAGTCATTTGAGCAGCCTCCCCACAGGGTCGCGTGTCTCCCCCACCCGAATTGCACTAGATGCGCTCCCTCCCCGGACAGGAGTGCTGCACTACAATTCTTTGTCTCACTTGGTCCTTTTTTATAGGAAAACTTTCCAGATTTTAAACAGTGTTGGCTGAATAATAATTTACACTAAATGTTCATTGTTTATTTATAAAAGTTTATGGCTATCCAGAATAAAACATGCATTACAGGAATACCCTGTGATCAGTGCTTCAAAGGAAAAGTCGTTAACTGGGAAACATATAATGTTGCATGCACGTACATAGGCTTACACTGGACATAATATCATGAAACAGCCTCAGGGATAAGATTCCGGAAAAAGGCAATAAAATAAAGAGACCCGATTTCATGTTTTCACCACTGGTCTGTTTCTTAACATCATGTAATCGTATAACAACAATATTTGCTGTAAGCGAATGAAACACATCTCCCTTTTAATTTTTTAAACAAAAGTGAGTAGAAATGGTTTTATCGTTGGTAACTTGATAATTCTTTATGATTGATACAATTTATACAAAATTTGTCTTACCCTCAGTTCTCTTTGAGGTTTTCGGACTGTTATTATGTATTAAATTTGATTCTGCACCCTAGAATATCTTCAGAGTCATGAAAAGCGAGTAGTAACTTTATCAGATCTTTTTTGTTCCTTCCAAAACATGCGAGTGTCATGAAGATCCAAGAAGTCTCTAACATGTCTGATATCTTAACTTCTTCCCCAGCTGCCAAACATGTTGCCATCAAGAATCGAAACCACGTTAACATGTATTGCATCTTCTTTTGTTCTTAAAATATCTTATTGTAAAAACGAGATCAGCCGGTCACAGTAGCCGAGCGGTCTAAGGCAAGCACTGTCTTCGCTCGCTCGGAATCCGGGATCGTGGGTTCGAATCCCACTCAGGACATGGATGTTTGTGTGCGTTTTTCTGTGTTTGTACAGTTAGAGGCCTTGCGACGAGCTGATGACTCGCCCAAGGAGTCCTACCATATGTGTAAGATCTAGAAAAACCGAAGTTCATGGAAGTAGGCCTAGGCCCTCCGGGGCTGTAGTTCCAAGGAAAAAAAAGAACTCAAATTAACTTAACAAGTGTTATGTCATCACTTTTCCCCTGCATCTTAAAATATCTTACTTTTATGAGGAACCAGAAACACTTTCACAGATAGGCCTACCATACCTTCACTCATTTAATGCATTTGAAAATACTAGAATAGCATAAAGCACTGACCCCACGTTCAGATATCTTTCCTGCCTTTTGTTCTTTAAACTTTGACTGACATCATTATCGAACACCACTTCAAGAGATAGTCCTATTTTACATAAATTTCTTCCTTAAATTCAGAAATGTACAGTGCCCTCAGAAAAAAAAAACACATTAAATATTATCTCTTCATTCCTAAATTGTAAAAGGTCTCTATATTATACAGTGCTGCGTTCCTATACTCCAGAATATGAGAGTGTTTTCAAGAATCAATACATTTATTTAAAAAATCTGAAATCTGTCAAGCAATTAACCCAAGTACACATAATTCGGACTGTCATATATGTAAGTGCGGAAAAATATAATTTGATGTTACGTACCTTTACAACACGTTAATGAAATTGCTCAGCATTTAATTGTATTTGCTGCAGAGGTCTAATGTTTATTTCCAATTTTCAGGAAAGCAACTCTTATAAACATGAGTTAATACTCGTAACATGTCATTGGCTAAAAACAAAGGTCAAAATGACCACAAAATCCATTGCTCAAATACTTATTATATTGTAAGATTTGAGGCTTTCACGGCGGTGACTATGAAGAAAGCAGTCTTCTGGGATTTGGCACCGTGTATATGTGGTGTTAACCGACGTTTCGGAGGAATGTATCGCCTCCATCTTCAGGGTAGAAGAAAAAATATAAGAAATCTGCAAGCGAAGAGACCGTGAGAAAAGGTAAAAGCAGACTGCTTTCTTCACTTATTATATTGTTCTGAAGTGTGTTTCGGTAACTAAGACAGGAGTATCCCTGCGGAGGAAGATGATGTTACTAATCTCATTGCAGCGTTCCAATTAGAACACCATTATCACTCCAGCTCAGTGGACCCAGAGCAGAAGGAGAGAAATATCACAAGCAGACGCATTTAGGAAGTCTCCCATTCTGACTTTCGTGTCTTGACCACGGTGTGTAAAATTTCAGATAATCCACGGTTTTCATTTACCATTTATTAGCCAGTGGGTTCTAAGACATGGGATTAGACAAAGTGTGGTCTCTGAAGTTACACAGCATTTTGAAAGTGTCGGAATTTTGTCTGGCAGCGAAATGGTGCTTTAGCGCACTTAAATCCTGCGAATGTTAGGCCGGATCATTTAAGTGCTGTTTTCTCTTCGAAAAATCAGCAAGCATCCCACGATATTCAAAGCGCTCCCTTTTCGTTTCTTCTTTGTCTCCAGCCCTTCTGACATGCAGCTGAAGCAGCTTAAGACTGTCGCCATACTAAGTGCCACGTCGGAGTTTAATCTGTTGCAGTAAGATGTATAATTCTCTGAACTGCAACGAGTTCAGCATGACAGCTTTCTTTACTCATGTATACAGAATTAGTGTAGCTCTTGCAAATAGAACGCTCTCTTCCGTCTCATATCTCGTTGTCTCTCTCGAAGATTCTTACCTAATCCACATGCATTTGTAGATGTTTAGTCTATATTCCTCAGCAAATTCGTGATACATTTTCAGCTCTGACTGCAGTCAGTAGCCTAACACGATATAGGTCTACTTTGATCTGACAGTATATTTTAATACTTCATTAATTGGTAGTGGTACACAATTAAGTACTTTGATTATGTATAAAACTGAAGCTTTTGATGTTGGGTAGTTGTACAAAAATTTTATAAGGATTTTCTGGCTTATAATATTTTGATGACAATTAATGGCACATAAAGAAATATGTATATTTATATTCGACGTATAAGATTACAGATTTTGGTAATAAATTATGGCATATTTTGGGGGGGGGGCTTATAAGATGAAACTTCGATGATAGATAATGACACGATAATATTTTCATCAGACATAGAACTGACAATTGTGAAGAAATGGATTCTCTCAAAATTAAATATTTTCATAATATTCGTAGAGCTGATGGCTATGATAACATATTGAATGTATCACACATTGCCTTGTGATCGGAATTGCTCCAACTGCTTCTTTTCAGATTTGTGACCATATTTTTAATATTTTCAGTCCACCTATAATTAAAAAAAATGTTTTCGACATCTTTTTGTAATTTTTCTGTACCGCCAAATTGTAATTATACGTACGAGGCTCTAAACTATCAAAAAGAAGGCAGACCATTTGATCACGGCAGGAGATGAAATACATTTTCTTTCCTTCAGATCGAAGTTTGGCAAATTTGCAGACAAGGCCACAAATCTAGTAAGCAAAAGTCTTTATATTATGGCATGATCATGCATAGAAAGGAAACTTATCCTTTGCTCAAGAAACGAACTCACATTCATTGACAGATTCCCCTACAGAAATCGCCATAAACTCAGATACGACACTGCAACACATGCACAGTTCATGTTTCCAAAATAAGTATCTCTTAGGAAAAAGTTTCTATCGACTAATTTTAATTTGCCACGGGTAATGCTCGCTTCGTCACTGTATCATGAACGGCGTATATGCCTGTTTCGTGGCAAACACTCATAACAAATATACACTGACTACTGAACTTTCTACACTATTTCATCCTTAGAGAAATTAAGAAATTGAGTTCGAAATTATGTTAGGAAATGACAAAAAATATTAAATTTAAAACAAATTTCAACATATTGCAACGACAATTCTCAATGCATTGTCCTTGATTTAATTAATTGTGTATAAATTATTTTATATTCATATTAGAGAAACTTTATATGTAATTTGTTTTGAGTTTAAATTCCCTTTATTTACAACTTTCGGCTTGTAGAATCTGTTCTTTGTGCATTTTCCATCTGTTGAAATATTTTTAAAATAAGGGAAGCCTTTCGTCTGCAAACAATTCATTGATACCCGAGATTTAGTCCTTTCCATAATGAAACTACACTATCTAATTATAATATGATCAAAAACGTGAACTCCAGTATTGAGGCAGTTCGGAAACAGTACAGGTACCAGAGTCTACTACAGAATTAAACAACCTTCATTCTCTACAAATATAATAACCGTGTAGCAGTTCCGTAGCAAATTTAAATGGCACTGCTTACTCCTTACAGTCTGTTCCTACAGCACCATACTGATCAGAACTGAACATTATCACACGCAAGCAGGCAGCCCTTGCAGCACCGACGTTCTCTGAGATTTGTCGCTGTGTCTTGTGGAGCTGTGCCAACCGTGGCACACCTTGTGTTTGGTCTGCAGTGGTTCAGAGGGACCAGCTTCCTGCCAGATTTAGATTGCTGACTAATATGTCAGAGAACCCATTCACATTTTGCGCGTCACCATAATGGCTGCTCGACTGCTGATACAAGAGACAGTTGAACGTTGTACCTTAGCAGAGGCGTAGTGTAATGAATTCTTTATTAATTACGAAACTGGAAAGCCATGGATCATGAACTCCAGTTTCTTTACCAGTTTATGCCTGGTAACACAATAATAATAATAATAATAATAATAATAATAATAATAAGGGTTGGCAAAACAGCCCTCTTTTAGATTCTAAAAGGTTCTGACGATGGTGGATGACAAAGAATTGCTAGGATTTTGGACCTTTTCCATCGTCTGGAATTCTAGGTAATAGAAGACACGACGTTTCGGAAACTGGATCAGGTGAGGAATTAAGACACCTACTCAGTTGGGCCCCTTAGATAGAGCTAATCTCAATCACTGGACCAGCTCTTTCTAAGGGACCCAACTGAGTATGTGTCTTAATTCCTCACCTGAAGACGGAAACAGATCCAG